TACCACAAGGTGCTTTTGCCAATAAATTAAAAAAATACATTTTTTTCATAACAAATAGCTTCCTCTATACAGAATGATTTTTTTTGTTGAAAATCACTTTCTGTTATTAAAAAAATTATATTAATATGAGTGGTAACTAAATGACGTAAATCTGATATGGGTTTTATACCTATTGTACATTTAATTAAAAATCTGTGAATTTAGTGGCCTAATTTTATTTATACAGTATCAAGAGCATTCCTTAGGGTATAACAATGAATGTAATACCTTTTTTTTTTTAAAGAAATGAAAATTGATTTTTATATGCTAATATCTTCAGAAGTGCAACCCCCATAACCCAGAAAGTTTGTGTTGCAGGATCATGGTAGGACATACTTTCAATGTTGATTCCAAATCTACAATCAGAAAAGTTGTAGCATGTAATGATTAGAAATAGAAAATGTCTGAAAATTGGACGAAAAGTTGTCTGGACCATTGTTCAAGGGGCTATAACAGGAAGAGTTGAACCTTTTTAAATCTCCATATTTTGAGGAATCATAGCCCACCATTATTTCTCACCTCATACACAGGTTATAAACTTAACCAAACTTACAGTATTTGGCTAAAATACAACCATCCAAATGAGCCAGAAAGTATTTTTAACAGCCTGCTGCCTCTCTTTATCCCCCCACCTCCCAAAAAAAAAAAAAAAAAAAACCCCCCCCAAAAAAAAAAAAAAAAAAAAATTCTGATATCAGTAATATCGCAACAAAAATTCGTTGATATGTTGAAGAGGTATCCCTAATGAAATTTTAACAATTTTTAATGTCCTTTAAATAAATATTAGAAATTTATGTTTCTTGAAAACCTGTTTTAACCACTGTTTTAACACATCCTTAACATGCTCAACATAACGTATTCAACCATATTCGCATCGGATTAAATTTGACCAAGACTATACAGGGAAATTCAAAATCTTTGCAATGCGTGTGGTATTAGTATGTGCTCAGAGATGCCATACTAAGTCATACTATCCATACTGAATTTTCTAGATCGGTAAAAATCGTCTGGTCAGTCTTCATGCATCTGGGCACACTTCGTTCAGTAATAAAAGTAGCCGAGATACTGGTTAGCCAGTGCGAACAAGGCTAGACTTTTGGCAGGAAAGTATCCAATCACAAATGATCAGTGATTAAAATTTTGTCACAAAATTGCAATGTTATTTCAAATAACACCAAAACCAGACCTAAATAGTAACAGGCCCTTAGTCCGAGATTATGCCAAATAAGAAACTGATCATTTTCATAATAATTAAGCTATTCAGTGGAAATTGTAAAAATAGTTTATTGTATAATTAGACTCAAATAACATCCTTGTGAGTACATAAACTTGAAAATTCATTCAATAACATACTTTAAATTGCAAATAAACTGAACTGTTTCAATACAAATTTTGACTTGTCATTGTGCTACCGTCATTTAGTTACGCTCGGTAACTAAGTGACATATTTAATATGCTAATAACTTATTAACAAAAATGAATTAGGAAATAAAATTAATGCCACTAGATAGCCCTAGCTTTGTATATAAAGTTGTATTGTATCATTTATATTTTTTGTAAAAAGTTAACTTTATGTTGTTTTCCGGTAACTAAATGACATATTTATTGGGTTTAATATTTACGCATTTTGATTACTAAAACATAGGCAAAAGTAAAACTGAATGAAAATATGTGTTCTTAGTAAGCCATTTGACCATATTAAACTAGATTTTAATATAATTTAAAGTTTCATCCTAGTCTATTTTGGTAAGTTTGTATGTGAAAGTTTATCAAAATAAAAAAATTATTTATTGACATTTAAATTAATATTTAACAATACTTCTGATTTGAAATTTTAAAATCTGAGTTTACATCTTGAAAGTATATGTTTCAAGCTTTAATTAGTCACCAAAACTGTAAATATAGAATGAATATGAAAATTTAGGTGCTTTGTCCGTTTTGCATGGAATTGCCCTTTTTATAATACCCTTTAATTCTAATATTGACAAAGTTTTGCCTAATCATTTCTCCACTTCCCCCATCTGCTCCGTGTTGTATCCGTGTTTTGTACTTGTTTCGTTTATGAATTTATTTCAATGACATAATTATGCTTTCGTAATTATGTAGTCGCTCGCTACAAGTGCCACTTGATAAATGGTTTTTCTTTTGTCATTTGGCGTATACTTTTGAGCAATGCCCTTTTCACACAATTCTTCTTTTTTTTTAATGAAATCCGGTTGTTTAATGTTTATCATTTGTTATGTTGTGTGAGGAAATAATTGTTTATTTGAATTCGAATTTGAGTCATGAAAAACGAAAATTCTAATTTCACATTTGAATTTGTATATTAAGGCAATTTTATTAACTTCAAATAAAAAATTTGAATAAGAAAAAAAAAATCCCCTCAATTTTCGGACAGTTTATGTATTCATTTGCATATTATATCAATAGGCCTATCCTTAAATTGGCTTGTAATCAATTTAAGGATTTTTTTTTAGATGTCGGTAAATCAGTAAAAACTACTTTTTTTCTATCTGTTTTTCGTTGGAAGCTAATATTTTTGTTTGATCATTTTAAATAAACTACTTATAATTTTATGTAAATTATTTTGAGGTGTTTCCTGTCTTTTTGACTGATAACCTGAAGTTTCAGAAGCAAGCAGCTAGTGGCAAAATTGATCCAGATCGATTACCACCAACAGAAAATGCAACAGCACAGCATTCCCTTCGTGTGCATCATCAATAGTTTGGAAACATCTACTGTAAACACCTCCATTCTTAAACATATTGGAAGGGATGGGAGCTTGATTCCAATAGGAAACTTAAACCAAAGATGCTTACCTGTGGTGTTGCTCCTGACATACTTCTAAAAGGAATTTGCTACAATTGCCAGGAAGGGGAGAGGCAATGCCAAACCATGAGGTGTAGTTGCATTAAAAATGGGATATCATTCTGCTTGTGGGGTTTGCTGTTGACATTTTTCAAATTCCTTTTGTAAAGATATACTGTCATCAGTCAAAAAGACAGGAAATACCTCAAAATAATTTACATAAAATTATAAATAGTTTATTTAAAATGATCAAACAAGAATATTAGCTTCAAACGAAAAAGTAGTTTTTACTGATTTACAGACATTTAAAAAAAATCCTTAAATTGATTACAAGCCAATTTAAGGATATAATATGCAAACGAATACAGAAACTGTCCGAAAATTGAGGGGGTTTTTTTTCTTATTCAAATTTTTAAATGAATTTGAAGTTAATAAATTGCCTATTATAAAATTCAAATGTGAAATTAGAATTTTCGTTTTCATGACTGATTGTACATCTTTAACACAGTAGAAACCCTCAATTACAAGCTCCGATTTAACAAATTCCCGATTTTACGAATGTAAAATCAAGTTGATGACATCATAAAAGTGAAGTGAAAAATAATAATAAAAAAAAAATCCGCTCGATTTTTAACTGTTATTAGCATGCATACAACACAACACACCATACTATACAGTACTATGTAATTCTCAAGTGAAGGAGGACCTCTAACGGGCCTCCTTCAGTGTTTTTTATGGCTTCACACATGTGCATGCGACAAAAATTTAACTTCTCTTTCAGACATCGTTTTCAGCATAGTGCTTGATTGTTTATTGAATGATCAATATATATAATAAACAAGTATCTATGGAAGTTGTGTTTTAGAGTAAAATCCACAATCTATGTATTTAAGAAGGTAAAAAAGGCGGATAAAAACAAATTTGTGTAGGGCCTAGAGTGGGATCAGAATGTTTAGAAGCTGCCTACTATAGGCTTAGGCCCCCTCTGTGGGCCTAGCCTAGGCCTAGTTTATGCCAATGTAAGTAGTACCAGGGTATATATAGAAGTTTGGGTCAACCCCGAATACCCGCATTTTGACACCAAAATCAATTTTAGGTTGGGTCAATGACCTTTAACCCCAAAAACGTAATTTCCCCACTCTCCTATATCCCTAATTTTGTTTTGGTGTTATCCTAGTATGTATTCATACACAAGTCAGTTGAAATCACATTCATTGTAATATTTTAAAATGATATGCCAATTTATTTACTAAAAATACGATTTTTGACATTTGACCTCATTTTCCAAAGTCATGAATTGGTTCTGAGGGTCCTGTTATATATTTTTTTATTTGTTGTATAATTCTGTGCATTTTGACACCAAGATCAACCATATACCATAGAGTGTTCTAGAGATACATTTTTTAGTATTTAAGACCAGGTTCAATGACCTTTAACCCCTCAAAAAATTTTCCCCACCCCCTAGCCCACCTAACATTTTTTTGGTGTATCCTGGCCCGGGATTTATCAATCTTAGCTTAGCAAATGTCTTAAGTTAAAAAAGTTAAGAAGTAGCTAAGCAAAAATCTTAAGCTGATTTATCAAACCATCTTAGCAAAATCTTAGCAAAAATATCATCTTAGATGGCGCATGCATACAATCGACTTCTTGTAGCTTATAGAGGGCAGCAAATTTTGTCTTAAGTCGAAAAATATTTGCTTACGCATGCGTAAAAACCATTTTTGTGATTTCAACCGGAAGTGAACTGTCAAAGGTTAAGAGAGATACAGTAAACAAACCATGTGAGAAACTTATGTGCTCGCCATGCTGGATGTTCGTTAGTGAAGATTTTATCGTTATTCTTTCTTATCTTACTGTTTTATATGGACATGGATGGTAAGACGTCTACCATCACTGTCAGTTTAATTTGGATGAACTACATACAGCTGTGAAAAGTTTGTGGCATTAAAGGAATTTTACGATTGAGAGGGCTGGCAGAGAGAAGAGGCAGCCAACAACGAGCAAGGCTAGAGAAAGGCCTGGCCTAGTCTAGTAGAGTGGTCTAGCTAGGCTAGAGCCTTAGCGAGAAAGCTTAGTTTGGCCTACTAGCTAGGCTAGGGGGCCTAGGCTACACCGCTAATATAGACCATA